AACTAGAGTTGGCAAGCTTATTGCACTGCATTATGCTCTAAAAGCCAGCTGCATCCCTCTGCGTAAATTATGTGCTCCAGGAACAAGTTCATCTGCCAATCGTTCTTGGGTTAAGTTTGCCTGCTTCAGAAAGGTAAGCATGGGGAACCACATCCACAACCTTACCCTTGTCAAGACGATTTGTAAACCCTGGTTGTGTGACTCTCTTAGCTTAAGAGTAACATTAAAGGTATTAAATAAATTATCAAAAGTATATAGTAAGAGCTGTCCATTGATCACTTTAATGCCTGCCAGGCAATGGATTAGCTTCTCCACATACAGGCACAAGGGTGTCACATGATTCACAAAAGGATTTAAGAGTATTCAAATAAAGATTTTTTTTCAGACCACCTACAACTCTCCACCACCACCTATTCCAGTCTCTCAAATAGAACAAAGTGCAGCAAAAACTGTAGTAGCTGGGTGGGAGATAATTTCAGCACATGAAGATGCTTCTCTCCAGCAGCACCAAATATACTGACAAATCCTCCCTCTTTAAATCTTGCACTAAATGGGATCTTTTGAGGTCAGTTATAATGAATAAAATTACACAACGTATCTCCATGACATCAAAGAACCAGAAAGGTGAGGATAATACATTTTATTGCACGACAAATTACTATTGGCTAGAATGTACTTCCCAAAAGATGTTGTATACTTGAATAGGGAAACTTGCAGGGCTATGAGGAAAGGGCATAGGTAAAACTGAATAACTCTTTCAGAGAATCAGCTGAATGGTTTCATTCTGTGCTTGAAAACTGATTCCTTTTATATTATACAACAAAACAAAACTCAATTACCAATTCAGTTTAACCTCAATGCTGGCTTCTGGGAGATTGTGAAACTTGGGAGTAACAATAAACAATGCAACTTAGAAAAAGCAGATTGGAGTATGTTCGAAGAACAAGACATATTGAAGTTCAGATAGTGTTGATAAAGTACTCGAGCTTATTGCTACAATCCAGATTGTCATCTGAATGCTACGATGTTAGTCTAGTCTATTATTACCTTGTAGTCTGCATATGTTATCCAATATGTTATTATTTGATTCAGCTGGTCAATAGTCCATTTGATCTCATTCATCTAGAACATGAAACCAATGCGCTCCCCATTGTCGAATTTAGGTGTTTGATAAGTTAGTCCAGTGCACTGGCTTCAACCAACCTTTGTGTAACCTGCTCCGGACACTGATAAATCTCTGGTGTAAAGATGCATGCTGTGTCCTTTGTCTCACGTTCTCCCTGACCTTGTGTCACGTTGCTGCCCCAGGCATAGATGAAATAAGCAAAATACTTTAATCCAGGAGCTTAGACCATTTCTCAGCTCAGCTGTCATGTGGCTCTCCCATCAATTAATGGGCAAAGGTCACTATTTTAGAAAGGCAAATTAAATCATGCCCTTGGAAAGTCTAGCATCATTTTTGTTTCACATTATAAAAAGTCAGAAACACCTTTGCAAATGGTAACATTTCACTGCAAGCTTGCTAACATTGTCTAATTGCACCAAATATCCCTCTACAATTCATCATTCAAAACAAGGGATACAAGCACAGCGAGCGGTTCCCAGACCACATTGACATTTAGCTTTTTGCTTGTACAGACTGCTTATTGCTGAAATAAAGACAGACACTGTATTAAAGTTTTTCTTCATCCACTCATCAAGATAGGATCACAAGAAAACCAGACTGCATATCTCAGAAATTGGTGGATCATATCAAACAGCATTTCCTGGTGGCTATTCAAAACAGGCAGAATACTGACCATACTCAACAAGCCCATGATTGTAAAACTCAGAACATAATATCCTACATTGGATGGGATTTCCCCAAATATGCAACACCTGCTAAACAATCCCAATTATGCTAAGAATTGAATTAACAACTCACTTATGTTTGTGTGTAACTTCTAGCATTCACACATAGCGCCTTGTCATACAGTCATACAACATCGAATCAGACCCTTCGGTCCAACTAGTCCATGCTGAACATAATCCTAAAGTAAACTCGTCCAACCTACCAGCTCCTGGCCCATATCCCTCCGAACCTTTCCTATTCATGTATCCATCCGTCTTTTAAAATGTAATTGTACCCACATCCACCACTTCCACAGGAAGTTCATTCCACATGTGAACCACCCTCTGTGTAGAAAATTTGCCTCTCATGTCTATTTTAATCTCTCTCCTTTCACCTTAATGTGCCCCCTCGTCTTGAAATTTCCCATCTTACAGAAAAGACAACTACCATTAACTTTATCTATACCTGTCATTATTTTATAAACTTCTGTCAGGTCGACTCTCAATCTCCTATGCTCCAATGAAAAAAGTCTCTGCCTATCCAGCCTTTCTTTATAATTCAAACCTTCCATACCCAGTAACATCCTGGTAAAACTCTTCTGAACCCTGTCCAGCTTGATAATATCCTTCCTATAACAGAAAGGACATGGCCTAGCATTGGGCCTTTTCACTTCAACAAAAGCTTGGGCAATAACCATTCCCTGATGCATTCCCCTAGGGAATGATTTAGCCAAATGAGTGTTGACTTGCTTGGTCTGAATTTAAGTAAAAGTGTGGCAGTTAACTGTTCCTTGGTGCATTCTCCATGGCAACGCCTCTATCAATCAGAGTCCACCTGCCAACTGATCAGTACTGTCTTCTCCTACAGTATGTTGTTCTGAGAGATTTAGTTTTCTTGTGATTTTGTCCTGATGAGTGCAAAATGGAAGAACTTCAACAGCACGTCTCTGTATTCAGAAATATTTCTAAATATGATAAAAGTACACTAACATTAACACTTTGAAAACAAAAATATTTGATACGCAAGATTAAATATAACATAAAAGTTGCAGAAGAGCAACAAGGCAGCTCAGCAAATGACGCAAAAATAATCTGCATTTTCACAAGTCCAAATAAAACATTAAAACATCATCTGCAAATGTCAGGACAAATCCCAAGTTTTGACTTCCTTTCTTTTATAAATGCATGAGATACCATGTGAGTACTTAAAAGAGAGCTCACTGAAAGCTCAGATACAACTACACTGCTGTTTGCTGACAACACAACATTTTAAAGGCAAAGCAAATCATCCATGATCTAATGACAGAGCTCTCTCTATACTTACACACATTCCTCCAGCCTCTGTTTTAATGCTCTGATCAGAGACGGCCTACATGCAGACAGTTTGTGTAGCCTCTTCAGGTGACTCCCTGTGGCTTTACAAGTTGAGAGTGCTGCCCATCAATCTTGCATTCCTTCTCAATAGCTTCAATGGAGTACAGCCTCCCATCACAGGACAATAACTCAATAAGAAAGAAAAACTGATCTGCCAGCAAGAGTACATGTAAAGTCTGATTACAGTGGCCATTCCATGCTTGCTGAGAAAAAAAACTGGGAAATCTTAGGCCTGGTCTCCAGAAAATTTATAGAATATCTCTTCATTTACTGTACTTTTCAAAGGGTTTTCTAGGCTTTTTGGCACCAAAAGCTATCACTTATTTGACAAAATGACTCAGGCCCAAAATCACACCCTTCCTTGGTTTGGCCAACTCAAGGGTTCAGGAACTAGTTGGAATATTTAGCATCATTGTGGTTCAATGTTTCCACTCTTGTCTGAATCAGGAGGTCATAAGTTCATTATGATCTGAAGAGATGCGAGAAGATAATTTACTTAAGAGTGATAGGGTTTCATTTGTGATGATAATCTGAGACTTCATGTGCTCTCTCAGATAGCGACATCATCACACTATCCCATACACTCAATGGGGAAGGCAATTTCAGAGGGAAGATTATATATGCACTACATCAAAAGTAGGGTATGCCAAAAGGAAAATGTCCTGGAAAATATGTTACAAAACAGACTCTTTGATGCAATTATTGTACAGTACTTCCAATATCACAACTAAATATTAAAGTGATAATTTTACAGATGTGTTCCTGACAACTTTTGACTACTGATGGAGATAATAATCTATTAATCCTGCACAGCCAAATGACTGCCTCAAATTCCTAATATACTCTCCCACAAGATAAATCTTTGCACGGGGAATACAATTTCTTAAAATCTACAACTTTAGCAAATGTTCATTTGATCATATTTTTCCAATCACTATCAGATTTTTGCTGTTACTTTTTAAAACACACACCTAACAATACAATAAAAGTGGCTCGTAGCTATTAATAATGCAAAAATAACTCCTGCATTCATCAAGAGGATCCATTATCCTCACAAAATTGATGTTGAGAACTTTTCTTACGCATTCCTTCTTTCCTATGACTGATCGCAATAAATTTTCTGGAAAAGCAAACTTTAGCACAAATGCCATCAATAAGATATTCCATTGTAAAAGGGAAAACATGAGCAGATTCAGATCTAGCCAAACAAACAATTTTAAATTGGGATAATTTCCTCTCAAGAAAATTGACCAAATTATGAGTTGTCATAGCTCACCATATTGCTGTATTTTTCAACTTCTGTCACCAAAAGGTGGACAGCATATTTACCTCTTAGTCTCGGAATATCTCTGGGTAATCTAATTTAGAAAGATTACTGAATGGGACAGTATTGTTGCTTGAGTTACATTAGAACTGGAATATTTTTTAACTGACAAATTTGAGCTATATTAAAATTCCCATAACATTCACAACTTACTTTCATTTGTTTCTCCTCATTGTCTCTCTTATTCTCAAGAATCTGGTGTTACAAACAGATTAATATAAAGGACAGACTAAGAAATATCCTTACATCTGCAGGAATAGTACAGGTGGAAACTCTCTGAAATGCAGTTACAAGCTGAAAATCCAAATTAATAAATGATTGGGTAGAAGACAGTTCAGATTCTGTATCTAAGTTGGGCATGGTCTTTTAGAAAGGTGTCAAGGCCATACAAGTTGCAGAAAAGATTAATTATGTTAATCAGTGATGAGAGCATTAGTTATGATATGAGACTAAGAAAGTGGACCTCTTCTAATCAGATGCAATAACAGCAAAATTTTTTATTTATATAGTGTTTTTTAAATAGCAAAAAATGTCAATAGCACTTGATAGGAGCATAATCAGGCAAGAATGAGACACTGAACCAAATGAGACATTACATCAGGTATCCAAGCACTTGGGACTGTTTTTTTTCTGGTTGGGTCATGATGCTGATGTCATTTTCAAATCTGTTCCAGAACCTGGAGATAGTGGTGTCAAGATGTTGGCTGCCATCTTCCATGGGCAACCAAGATGCCCTGTCCAACTAAGGATGGCAGGCAGACAATGGGAGTCAGAGTACAAACAGAGGAGCCAGCAGTAGTGTCCAGCCAGCAGTTCCATGGGGAGAGACAGGCTGAAGTCATTAGAGAATGCGGGGCATCTCAATATGGACAGGCTCTGTATAGCACTGAAAATAATTAAAAATCATGCACAACCACAGCTGTTAGGCCACCATTATAGAAAGGGAGTTTCTCCATAGATGGCATGAGGTATCCCAGTGAGTCTGTGTTGAGGTGATCAAAGTGGAAAACACCCATGGTTACACCAGCCTGCTACTGAGAGGCCATCTCTAGTTGTCAGTCAAGCTCTGGCTTCACATGAGAAGCCCATCCACCACAGGGTAGATAGCAATATCACCATCAGAATTTCCCTAATTGGCTCAGTCATTGACCTAATTGTTACCCATTGGTCCTGGACCCATACCTATGCTACATTGACCCAGTCTTTGGAGAGCCAACCTGATGCATTGTTTTGTAACTCCACTCCTGGTTCTGACTTGACCTGCTTCCAACAGACTGGAAAAAATTCAGTCCTTTGAAAGGAATTGTCTGGCTACTACTTCAACTCCCTAAAGCTCTAAAAGGAAGGATGATGTCATGATCAGTTTCTTGAGATTCAATTTTTGCAGCCTTTACGATGGGGAAATAAGTTTCATAAGATTTGTCACCAATTACACATTTGGTGCCTCTGCACGTAAGTTGCAACTTGAAATAACAAATAAATTACAAATGAAACAATACAACCACCACAGTCCAAATATCAGAATAATGATCCAGTGGTATAGCAATGCAGTTTCTCATTGAAAGGGTTTAGATAGCTCTGAGTTTGAGTTTAAGTCTTATATCGTGCCTTTCTTGCGAATTCCAATGATTTTCTTCATGAATGTTACTAGGTGAAGCATTTTTATGGTTGTCAAACACTGCCTTGACCAAGTGATGGAAAATAGTGTAATTGAGAATCTTATCCTGTACCACGGTGGTTGAAACATATAATAACAAATAAGCTAAAGCAAAATGAGTCTGTTAGGAGAAAGCAGGCAAAGGGAGAAATGTGTAGGTTGGGTAGAATAATTAGCTGAAACCATACAATCATCCTTATCGAGAAACTTAGGCTGCAGCAGCTTGCATTGTAAAGACACTTGAGCAATGTCATATTCACCGATTGCACTTTAGTGTGACCTGTTTCTTTCAGTCACCACAATAATACATAAGTCGAAGTTACCACCAACTTCCCTTCCCCCCACAGTCTATATTATATATGTTTTCACAGCAATGATCCAGTAGGCACTTCAGTATGAAGATGACAAAGGTGGAGTGAAAAAGTCTTGGCACCAGAAAAACATTAGTTCAGGGATCTCCTCAGTTTATGTAGATGATGGGCCATGGTGTTTCCTCTTACTCCTACAGGACTTACAGGCACAGCAAATGATGCAGGGGGAGGCCAGGAGGAGAAGCGGAGATGTGACTAGCACAATAAGGCCTAATCCAAAGAGGATCCCGACAACCTGCAGAGAAGGGGGAAAAGAAAAGTTAAAATTTCTGTTGTGCACAGCATCAATAACCAGATATCAAGGCATGGACATTTGCCAAGACTGTACAATTCAGAAGCCCTTTTAAAATGGCAGGCAAGTCTCGATTCTGCAATTTCCACCCAAATACTGGGGTTTCCAATTGTCAGGGGTTATTTTAAAAGGTGCAAGCTGTTTTGAGTCAAAAGCCTGGGACTCCCATGCAGGCTGGCTCAATTGCGGAGAAAGGCATGGCCTGCTCCTCTGCAATTTTCATGGAGTCAGGCCAGCTTTTTAGAAGAGTCCTAATTCAGGGCATTGCAGAAGTGTAATGAACTACAATTTCTAAGGAGGACTTTTTGAAAGGTAAGTTTGAAAAGGACACCCTCGTGCTCCCTATTGCTGAATATTATGCATTTGCCCACCCCTCTATAGCCACTCATGCCAGGCTATGTCATTCCAATTCCCACTCAACACTCTAATATATATAGAAGCAATAAATGCCATAGTTTCTTAGAATTTAAAATAAAAGCTTTAGAATATCATTGTTAAATAAAACTCCCTTTCAGTACAGCCCAATAGTGTCATCTATCCAGACCCTTTGAAGAGCTGAAACTGCAAGCATTTTGTAAAAGAGTCAGATGGAATACAATGTGGGAAGTGAAAGATTGAGTATATGTGACAATAAAGGCTAATTTAGTGAGTATAGTGAAAAGTTTATACGTCGCCACTTACAGCACCATTTAGTACAAAGGTACCCAGTACAGCTTCTTCTGTTACAAGATCTGAGAAAATAGAGAAATAGAATGTCCAGCATTGCAGAAATAAAAGTTCAGAACAACGGTCTTCCAACCCAGACCACACTGGCACCTAGCCTCCAGTCCACACCGGGCCCCAGCTTCAGATTGCACCGTGCTTCACCTTGAGAATCACGCAGCTGAGAGATCACTTCACAGCGGGCCAAGAGGATGCCATGACGGTGGGCCACTACAATAGGTGGGGAGGCCACTACGCCAGGCCAGTAGGTTTCCATGCTATGTCGGGATGCCGGCATGCCAACCTGGGAGGTTGCCACGCCAGGCCAGGCCGGGAAGCTGCTACAGGAGGCCGCTGCGCCAGGCCCGGAGGTCGCCAGCCATCGGAGGCTGGGAGTCAGCTGGAGGTCATCACCGGAGGCCAGGATTCATCGCCGGAGGCCGGGAGAGAAGAGGAAAGAAAACACTAAGAGGAAGAAAAGAGAAGAAAAGAAGAACAGGCGAAGCAGATGAGCTCCAGCTGCAGTGTCCTACTCCACTGCCATTTTGGGCTGGAAGGTTATGCACTTCATAGGAAGAAGAGAGGTATAGACTATTTTCTAACTGGGGAAAGACTTCATAAAACTGAAGCAAAAAGGGACTTGAGAATCCTAGTTCCGGATTCTCTTAAAGTTAACATGCAGATTCAGTTAGCAGTTAGGAAGGCAAATATAATATTATCATTCAATTCAAGAGGGTGAGAATACAAAAGCAGCGAAGTACTGCTGAGGCTCTATGAAGCTCTGGTCCAACCACATTTGGAATATTGTGAGCAGTTTTGGGCCTTGTATCTAAGGAAGGCTGTGCTGGCCTTGAGGGGATCCAGAGGAACAAGAATGATCCTAGGGATGAGAGTTTGTGATATGAGCTGTTGAAGACTCTGGGTCTGTACTTGATGGAGTTTAGAAGGATGAGGGCAAATCTGATTGAAACTTACAAGAGGTCTGGATAGAACGGATGTGGAGATGATGTTTTGACTAGTAGGAGCAAGACAACCTCAGAGTGAAGGGACCACTGTTTAGAACTGAGATGAGGAGGAATTTCTTCAGTCAGATCGTAATTAATCTGTGGAACTCATTGCTGCAGAAAATTGTTGAGGCCAAGTAATTGAGTGTATTTAAGACAAAGATAGATAAGTTCTTGGTTAGTAAGGGGATCACAGATTATAAGGTAAAGGCAGGATAATAGGGTTAAGAAACATATCAGTCACAACCAAATGACAGAGCAGGCTTGATGGGCCGAATGGGCTTAATTCTGCTCCTATGTCTTAAGGTCTAAACCTTAATATTATCTATAGATGCACAAACACTTACCTGGGTTCTGTTCCAAATAACTGAAGCTCTAGAGTGGCCAAGTTTATTGCGACATGGGCCTTTGTCATAATGTCTCAAGAAAATGTCATTCTGAAAAATACAAATTGTCAATATCTGAATAAACTATCCTAAATTGCCACATTCTATAAAATGTATTCCACAACTTGTTTTTCAAAATCAATAAGCTATACTGAGTGAGGATTAGCATGCAATTGTACGCAGTTCTGTTTGTTGTTTTAAACATGAGGTTTGAAGCACATCACTCTTTGAATAAGATTTATTATTGCTCCCATAACAATTTGAATTTCTACAGCACTAACAATAGGAAATATCGTAAGATGCTTCACAGATGTTCAACAAGAAGAAAACATAGAAAAGCCAAATAAATGTGGAGATACGAGGAGAAATGGCCAAAAGCTCAGTCATATAGGAAAAGATGACACAGTAGTAAAGTAGTTTCTAGACATGGAACCAAAAGAAGCTGAGATTGTTCTCCTGAGTATGGGTAAAGCTAAAGACAGATTTAATAAAAGTGTTCAAAATTATGAGAGATTTCAATAAAATAAAACGCAAAATCTGTTCCCACTAGCAAGACAGTCAGTAACTATAGCAGGTTGATGTGAGATAACAAGTAAGAGAACTCTAGCCATCTAAGCTAGCCAACCCTATAATCTGCCGAAATGCCTTTAAGGATTTATTGTGGAGTTCTGAAAATGAGTTAATGAATTCTTCACTGGAAGTTTTAGCTTTTTAATTCTCACTGGCAGCTAAGGGCATGCTTTTAAGATTTGAAGTGGCACCACAAATAAGAACCAGTAAACAAATTGATTAAATTTTATGTGGACTAGATTACAGTCAATAACAGTTCAGATTTGGTTGAGTGGCCTGCTTCTGCGCAGTACTGCGATCGAGGGACAGAAGCAATGCACAAAATCAGTCACTTTATAGGTGAATACATCTGACTTGATCAGAATATCTGTCCAGATCATAACTTCCAAAACAAATTAAAAGAATACAAATTCGTGTAAGCTGACCATCTAACAGCATTTTGAGGATACACTTACATCCAGATTATGAAGACAATACCAGCAAAAGGTGTGCTTGCAGTTTTTACACATCATTTGGGCACAACCTTCATTTCGTTCTATGAAGATATGGCACACTGGACACTGTTTGATGGGAGCATCGGGGTCAAAGCTGGTGGAAACACTACAGAAAGAGGCAATGGCGAAGAGGTTAGTTAAAATTTATCATAATTCACATTTAGCCTCACAAACTTAGCCAAAATAAACAATCTAAGGCCGATCTTAAAACAACCCACAATATATACTAGAAGATGTCACAATCAATTTATAACTTTATCAGGTGATTTCATTATCAACTGCCATATTCCTTCATTTGAAATTCTCAAATACACTTAAATAGTAAAAACTATTGACTATATTCTGCTTCATACAAAATCTAAACAGTTCTTAATGTAGACTCCATGACACAGATTGGAGTCTCTAAAATTGGCCGGTGTAATGGGAGTGTAAAAGTCTGTTGCTATTTCCATTTTCTGCCTCATGGAAAGGGAGCGAGGTATGATTCACACATAAGGGAAACGCAAATTCAGCAATGTCATTTTAACTCAGTGCTGCATTCAAACAGACCGTGTTGAGCAACTTGACCCATAACAAGGCAGTCACAAAACAGTCACAAGTAAACAAAGGTTTTTGAAGAATGAAGTCTGTTTAATTGCCATGATCTGAAGGTTTTTAAATCACCCCTACTTCAAATTTTAAAAGCATGCCCTCAGCTGTCAGTGAGGGTTAAGAAAAAAGCTAGCACATGCTGTAGCATCTTTCCAAGCAGCTTCAAAAATCATTTGATGACATTTCCTTAAGGGGTATTTACGAATGTGTGACTGACTTCCAAAAGCTACAATTGTCTCAGCAGGAGTTCCAAGTTCTCAGTTTTATCGACAACTGGCTTTAAATGGCCTTTTAAGGGTTCGGCTTCTTTTGATGTGTTAAGAACACAAACATGTTTGTTTTTAATAAGAGAATAAGCTTTAAATTTAAAACCTATACAGACTTTCAAGAGTGGAAGTATTTTTTTTAATATAGTGAAGACTATATTCAATTTTTAGAACATTATTTCACATCATTTCAACTTGGCACTGGTGGCCTGCCCAGAAGTGGATACTGGGCAAGTTGGCATGGATGGTACAAGAGCCAAGGTGGGAGGTATGCAGGTTGAGTCCCTATGGTTTAGGCAGAAATTCAAGGAGGCTGCTCACTTGTGTTGGTAAATGGGATGACCATGGTATCAGTCTTCAGCACTGCAGTGCCAGTGGGGCAATTTCCAGTGGTCACACTGACTGCGAAATGCAAGAGCAACACCAATCACAGGCAATTCCTGCATAATTGGTGCAGAGGCAACAAGGGGAAGGACCAATGAAGGGTCACTTGAGGAGTGGCCCTCATCAACATCATTCCTGTCTCACCCAGCCCTTTCATGGAATGTGTGCATGTCCAATAGAATAAGCAGCCGGACGGGGAGATGTGGCTGCCTAACAATGAATCGTGGCACCATCAGCTCATCTGACCATCCTATGTTACAGAATGCAGCATGGATTGTGTGCAGCACAATGTGATGCCAAATATGGTTGTCCATGAGGTTGGCCACTCTTTTGATGAAGGAGCTCATGCAATCAAATCTCTGAAACATCATGGAACAAACATCATGAGTATTTTGCTTCAGGCTCCACATTGCCACAAAGAAGTCCAACATTTGGGCACACATGTCTTGTTGCTGATCCTCAAGCCTTCATCTCCCCATTTAGAACAAAACTGTTTCCTAAGTACAACTTCATAGCACACTCTTGTAAAAAAAAATCAAGATGGAATCAAAATATTTTGTAGAATATCCCTTCAATGTAGTGTAATTAAATATGGAGATGGATTTCAAAATTATAGAATAAAATCTATTTCATATAGAATTCCTCTAATTTTTATGGCAAGGACTAGTTTAGTAGTCTAAATTTGAACTCCACACAAGTAGTTCAGCACACATTCTAGGCAAACTTCAATGCCAAGTGAATGCTTGACTTTAGATGAAATAATGAACAACACTGATTATCCCAGTAGATAAAAAGATCTCACAGCACTATTAGAAGAGCAAATTTTTTACCTCAAACGATCCAAGCAAAGAATAACTTAATTTGACATCAGCTCTCTGAAGTTTCTGGAAACTTGTTGCAAACAACACAGCTACTGTTCATGCTTATACAGCCATAATGACCACATTTCAGAAAGGAATAAAGGAAAATGACACATCTGATTAGGATTAATATTTGCGTGAAGGTTCACCAACATAACAGGTTGGACAACTTCTATTTAATTCCTCACTTTGGGATGTTCTCTCTCCATTTCTTCAGACAATATTAAATCTGAATCATGCCTCAATGTAAGTATTTTGCCACTTAACTTAGCACTTGCCGCAGCTGTCTTTCATATCTAAACAAACATGTCTAAAAGATCACAAGCTGAATACCTAAAATGATAAGGACTAAGACAGTAATAAAACACTTATTTCCATTTTGTAATGGGTTCCATTAGTGTGTCTCATGTTAGGCACTTTTAATTCTGAGGACAAAAGGGAAGAAAATGATAAAATTCACAAAAAGTGCTGTTCTGTCCAAAAGCAGAAAGGTTACGGTTTCATGCCTCAATTCTTACCTCGTATCATTTGCTTTTGAGGGCATAAAGGGCTGGGTTTCTTGACACGCCTGCCCTGGATGCCAACTGGCCTTGCAAATGGAGCAAAACTGTGTCTGACAGGAGGGACATTGTACTGACACAGCCTGGTGTGAATCAGCTACATTGATCTGGCAAACAGCCTGACACTGGACCCTGGGGCACCAAGTCCTGGAGGGATCCAGATGGACTTCTAAAATAAAAGAAAGAAATGTCAAACAAATTTGCAATCCCACTGGTTCATTACGCGCTAAAATTATTTTCAATTCTAGCTTCAACATAACACAAATTAGATTTTATAACCAGTTGAGTTTTCTCCCCAATTAATGAATCACTGTGGCTTTTATGTTTTAAAGTTCCATTATGTGGCATAGATAGCCCTCTTCCCAAAAGTTTACACATGGATATTAAATGTCAACCCTAGTGAAACAATTACTAAAATGTTTGATTTTGAATCAACTGCTGTGCATTTCAAACGATGGAGATTTTCCTGCTTCTGTTCCCTGGATCTCCGATAAAGTCAGGTTTGGACGGACAAATTTCTGTGAACGAGTTCACATGACTTTGGTACCAATCTTTTATTGAACGTTCAGTTCACTTCTTTTGTACATCACCTATTTCATCATCTGTGAAGTGCTTCAAGGCCCACATTCATGTGAGCTAGTCTGGTTGGCAATTGTCCAACAATGCCAATGACTTAAGAGGCAGGGAAAACTGAAACAGTAGTGCTTTCATTTTTAAATATGCTTGAGGTTTAGGGGAAAAGTATCATGAGATTTGTTGATGTTGCCATTAAAAATCAATGATCTTTAACTGCTCTGGACAATTTCACTTAACCTACATGTCCTCCTCCATCAAATATCCGAGACGTTGTCATGAAATATTAACACAACCCCTAGATGTTGTCTCAGTCCTCACTAAATTGTTTCACTGGAGCACAAGCAAATGATCCTCCTCAATGATTCAAATTTCTAAAATGATTCCTCTTGAAATGGTTGTTGACTATGACACCACTTGTTGAAGAGTTTAAAAATAAATTAATCCTGCCAGAGAGACCCACCAACTACATGGAAATTGCAGCAGAGAAATTGGTACATGCCACCTCCTGATCTACTTCATCGAGTTAAAGCTATCAGCTTATCTTTCTATGTCTTTGTCCCTCACTTATTTCCCTTCCCTTAAAGGGATCCTCCCTACCCTTAAATGCATCAATGCCATAATTCCTCAACTAGACTATATGTTACAATGATCCATTTTTGAACAATGTTTTGGTAAAGAGGTTTCTCCTGGATTCCTTTATTTATTAGTGGTCATCTTGTGTTGACTGCCCCTAATTTTGGACTTCCCAGAATTAGAAGATCATTTCTATGTCTACCTCCATCACGATCTATTTTAAAGACCCCTTTCAAGGCACCTCTCAGACAGAACGGTATTCAGTTCAATTTTTGTTTTCTCCTGGGTCCCCATAGGAACTTCCTCCATAACTGAAATCTTGATTTGCACTTCCGTGCTCCAAATAAAACCTACACTCAAATGTCTTTGGATTATAAAAGAAAATTACCATAACTTACACTCAACAAGTGGTAAATTGGAGGTAGTATATATCATTTAATATATTTCCATTTTTATGGATGAATATAGAGCAGATATCAGCATGCCATATTGTTAGGTTAGGTTAGGTTAGTTAAGTGGTTACAGGAAACAAGAAAAAAGGGATAAGAAAATTGAGACTGATTATAACTCTGTGTTCAGGTGGAGCATAAGCATCAACATGAAAAGTCACCTGGTCCATGTTTTAAGTTTTAGAAATTCATTGTTTTAGGGCAGTTTATTTTCAAATTGTCTGCATGATTTTGTTCTGGTTATGTTTGCATGAATGACACAGTGGTGATGAGGATACTGTAGCAGGTCATTAGCTTTCTCCTAAAAAGAGTCCGCAAGTGGTTACATCCAGTAGGTTTGTTGAGTTACTACCATATACAAGAGGCTCAGATGACAGTAGAAACTAAGGGCATCACCAGGCCAAAGTCTACACAATATCTGAAAAATTTTCATATTGTTATTACTTAGATTTTTTTTTAACTTGTATTTCCAAAATTCCAGCAGGACTTGCCTGGAAATGCATGATATTTTGAAAATGGTGAATGCAAGTAGTTGTAAGTATAGAAAATTTCAATGCAAAATAACCCCAATACTGAGGACATTTCACACTTGTACTATAATTCAACTGAGGCAGGTAATTTGTTCAAAATATGAAGTTGATATGGTTTATACAATTCTCTGAATCACTGTATCAGAAAGAGAAACTTCTATTCCTTCCAAGCATTAGCTATTGTCAATATAAAGGTTATGTGAAGTAGGATAATGTTTTTGTCATATGGTTAAACCTTTTTCTAAAAACAATATATGTGAAATCTACTCTATCTAGGAAGTTTTAAAAGAAATGTGAGACAGAAAATGTGATACTTACGGGAAATAAATGGTACTAATCAGACTTTACTAATTTTTAAAGGATTTTTTCCCCTTCAACTATTTTAGGCCTTTTTTTTGATAATAGCAGATATCACAGCAATACAATCTACTCTAGGTCCACACTGACAGAGTAACAGTTGGGACAGGAACATTGAATTTCACCATCAACAACCATTTGAAGGGGACTAATATTGGAAATTTTGAATCCACTGAAATGGATCATTCATTCATGCTACAGTGAAACAATTTAGGGAGCATTGCAATAACGAACATGGAGAGGTCATGTTGTTAATATCTCATAATAATGTCTCAGAGGTATTTGATGGAGGAGGACATGTAAGTTAAAAATAAATTCCAGACCAAATGAAGAGAGTTAATTTTTACCGGCAGCATCAGAAAATCTCACGGAATTGAATTTTTTGTTTGGGGGGGACAGGGAAGGGGCTGGGCTGAGAGACACAGCAGCCTTAGCAAGAAAGAGAATGAGATTTTCACCCCTCAGAGAGAGGAAATCAAACTCTTAAGAGCTCCAGACAATGAGGATTCCCAGCAGCGCTAGAATTTAGTAGTGGGTGCCACTAAGATTCAAGCAATCTGTTTTAGGATGGTGAGGAATTATGGACCCAAGGTATAGGGGGAGTAGGTGGGCAGACCCCAATGTGCACACAGCATCCGCCAAAAGCATTTTTTTTCCTAAGCCTTCTCACCTTTTCAACACACATGATAAAGAAAATATGAGTGGCTTCCCTTTTGAGGTGCCCTCCACTCGTCATATTATGGTGGTAGAGATGGAATTAATTCTTCACTGCCTATCAAATTTCCTGCTCAGGGCTTCAATAGGTCCAAGGATGAGTGAACTGGTGGCCTTACTTGCCACCATACAATGGGCAAAGATCCTTGAGTGAGTGAGATGGCAGTAGGATAGCCATCTATCCTATTTCACATGTTCTACTTGAATCTCCAAACCATGTAAGATGGAGAAGGGACATGTAAAATTTATAGGTCTGAGGAAGGGTCACTGGACCCGAAACGTTAACTTTGATTTTTTCTTCATAGATGCTGCCAGACCTGCTGAGCATTTCCAGCAACTTCTGTTTTTGTAAAATTTCCATGCAGTGGAGAAGATGTATTGTTTAATGAAGTACTTGCACAAAAAGATAATTATATTCAGATGTAATTTAGCACAGGCTTATTCTCCTCTCTCTCCAACAATAGAGTAATTTATAGCTCCTCCAGAATTCATTGTATCATATTTATCTCCATCAACTGAAAGCAGTGACTGTGTGTTTTAAGAGTCTTTGAAAGAAGTGACATCTTCTCTCTCCCTACTCTAGACTACCAAAATTAGTGATCTCTCCCTCTCACTGGACACAGTTCCTTGACTTCTAGAGCCTTGCTGAATTGATATTCATATAGAAGGGTAGATACTTATATCAGGAATTTTTGATTGTCAACCAAAAAAGTGAAGCCAATGTGTCCTCATCCAACAGCATCATATAATCTGCTGTCAGCTCATCTAAACCCTAGATTAAATATCTCAATTAACAGGGTAATTAGATTGCTCAGTAAGATGCTCAGCTTTTTCTCAATTTAGTTTATGTAACATTTTTTTTAAAAGGTCACAAACAGATATCAATTTCGTCACAATTCAGAGTAGAAGCTCCAAGATCATTTTTCCCACTGCATAGAATAATGGCAGAGTTAGTTTGAGGTTAAGTTCCTCATGGTCAAAAATAGAACGGAAGGATATAGGAAGCAGTATAAACAAAGATAATCAAAAGACTAAAAGGGAATATGAGGGGTAAAGTCCATGATCTAGAGTTGCTGAAAAAGGAAATCACAAGAATACAAATGATGTCTTTTCCCATCCATTAATCACAATTTGAGATGATTAAACATCACCGGCTGCCTGCTTGCAATTGCCAACATTCATCGTTATGATTGTTTCCTGTCTTGAGAAAGCATTGTTATTGAATGTAAACAGCTACGGTTAAAATGGTGGAGATGTGGGGATGCATGAGTGTGCTGCAGTTTCATTGGATTACCTTATTGGCACCAGGGAGCAATTGCACAGAATGTTCCATCAGCGGCCTAAGTATTTGGTTCAGTGTTTATTATATAGCCGGATGTAAATAGACTGGGGATGATTAAGCAGCCAGGAAGGTTTCCATTATAGGATAATTTTATACGTTGATTTGGGAAGGCCATTAAGCGTTGAGGTAGGGTTTGTGATAGTAGCAGTTGTGCACAAGACCATGGAAAAAATGGTCTAGATTGATACATGTCTTTTCTCATTTTGTTTCTAGTCATTCTTCTGATTGACGTAGACAGTTGGGAAGAATTCCATGAATTTCTTTCGGCCTATCTTATTACCAATAAATCACGTCTTAACACAAACAAACAAACAAACAAACAAAAAATCTGCACACATTTTACCTTACATCTGGAACTGAAGATGAAACGCTTCTCTGCATTAGTGCACTGAACAGTGTACAATGTATTTGAAAAGGTAATAAAGCAAGTGCAGAAAAGTATCTGAAGAATCAGAACAGTCAAGCAAAATTTGGGTGCGACAAGACAAAGCACAATTAAACCAGCTCAGCTAGTTGTTGAAGATATTAAAGATAAGATTTGAAACTGTAACCATGCAAAAACATAAGCTCATTGACATCTCCAGCTGATACATTCATTATGCAAATGTTGCTTTGCAGTAGTTGAGAGTCAGAAGCAAAAGCATCCCCAACAGAGAAACCTGATGCATCATGCTGTTGCATATAAAAATATTGCACACCTCGTTCAAATTTCAGTTGCTGGTACAGCTGAAGCACATCAGCTGGAACCAAACATGCAATCTGAAACAAATACAAAATAAAACAAGTTAAACAAGACTGGAATTTAAAAAAACAAAAATTATAAATAATTACATATACATACATACCAAAATACGCTTTTGCACTTTATTTCTGTCAATTGTCACCAGTGACTGGGAACACTATTTAACAATGAAACCATTTCTGTTGCTGCTGTGTCCAACCATCAGCAATCAGGAGATACAACTAGGTCTCAGAGAAGGAGAACAGTCCAGTACAACACACAATGATCTTGAGAAGTACTTCTCTGACTATCTGCATTTCTAACCTTGCCCCTCACTGATCTCGGACACATGGGTTTTAGTTGCCCTGCTATACCTTAGCCAAGTAACAAATATTCATGTCTGAAGCATAACAGTGATCCTCAACAGACTGTTTAATATGTGTGGACAGAAACTGTGAAGGACAGCAGCACTCATTTGCCATTGGAGTAATTCAAATCCCCAATAATATCATCACTCTGGCTGAGAGCAGTCAGCTTAGTGTAACCCAGAATCACATCTGGACCTCTGTGGCTTTATTGTCACTTGGCTACGCACTGAATTACTCACCTGAGCTTCCGGTGCAGCTGTTTCATAGCACTTTATTTGCATTTAATATTGGCAAAGTTAAAGCCAGCTAGAAATATCAGTGTCACTGACAACTGTTCGGGCCACAGCTCTAACCATTATCGGCTATTCACCAAACTATTCTAGATTTGCAGAGAACAGAAACTTTTTTTTAATTTCACAATCAGTAAAGAAACCAAGTTTATTTCTTCAATATTCTCTGCTATTAGATAGAATTTTCACAGCTGAGACTAAGCCTGTTTGTCAGGAACCTGTGAGGATATGCACACTCCCATTTGAAGAAAACATCTAACTTTTGGCTAATATCTATTTTCCTTCTATCAATCCCATGTCTGCCCACATAAAAAGGAAAAGATACATAATACATATTGAAACATCTTCCATAATCAAAGATGTCACGTTAGTTACAAATTTCTACAATCCATTCCAGTTAAAATGAACAAGTGAAGTGAATCAAATTTAATAATGTCAAGGTTCTTTCTCACCTGCTCCAACTGTGTTCACTTCTGGTTAGTGCATACTCCCAGATTTAAACTTGTGACCTTCACAAACCAGAAAGACAAAGGAACAGATGCAGGTTTCCCTGTATGTCACAAATCGCAACTTCAAAATATATCGCTATTCCTTCATTGTCACTGGATCAAAAATCATGGAACTTCCTATCTATTGGAAGCATCTTCACCACATTTACGGTAAAAAGCTCACTGCAATCTTCTTAAGAGTAGCTAGGAATGGGCGATAGAAGCTGATTTTCTCAGTGATAACCACATCCTAGCAAGGAATATTATAAATAAAATCAACAAGTAGGTCTTTCCTTGTGCGTTTCTTCAAGTAAATATGCCTAATTTATCAGGAATTATCAAGCATTAGAAATATGTACCTGTTTGCTTATCCCCCAGCAGCCATCAGACTTTGTCATATGTACCTCGCCACTCTCCCAGTTTGCATTCTGAGTCAGTAATTAACCAAGAGAGACAGAGAAACACAGCGATGCTGCGGGTTACTCCAATATTCATGGAAGATTAACAAAACCTGGCTAGGTTTTGCTAAAAAATAATAAGAATTGATTCACATTCTCAAACCAAACAAAAATTGCTTCTGATAACTTTTCTCTGATGCATAAAATACCTGAAGGAAGTCACCAGAAAGTACAAAGTGATACATTTTGGTAGGAAGAACACAGACACAATATAGCATAAAAGGGAACAATCCTAAAGAGGGTGCAGAGCAGAAACAACTCGTAGTATATGTTCAAAAGTTATGCCTGTGACAGGACAGGTCAAGAGCAATTAACAAAGCAAAGACCATCCCGGGCTTTATCAACAGGGTTACAGAATACAAAAGCATTGAAGTCATATTTAATTAGTATACTTGGCCTCAACGGGAGTATTACATCTAGTTCCAGACATCACATTTTGGAAGGATGTGAAGGCACCAGATAGGGAGCAGAAAAGATTCATGGAGAATGGTTCCACAGATGAGGAATTTCTGTTAAGTAGACAGGTTGGAGAAGTATGACTGTTTTCCCTTGGAGAAGGGAAAGTTTACAGGAGATTTGATAGAGGTATTTCAAATTATGAGGGTGCTGGTGGATTAGTTATGGAGAAACTAATTATAGAGTACTTACAGAAGTATCAAGAGTCAGAGGGCACAAATTTATGGTAATTTTGCAAGAGAAGCAACAACAGAGCAAGTGTTATCTAGATATCTAGAATGCACGACCAGAGGCTGAGTGTGATGAAGGCAGAGACAATTAAGGCATTCAAAAAGGAATTGAATTATTATCTGAAAAGAAAGTAAAAGTCTACAGTGAGAATGCAGGGAAGTAAAACTAGGTGAACTGTGAACTGCTCATTTGAAGAGCCAATACAGACATGGTGGGCCAAGTGGCCTTCTTTATTGTTATGATTCTCTGACCAGAGTGTAACTGCTGGTGTGCTAAGTTGTGCACAGCAAGCAGCCCTGGGTTCAATAGTTAACTTGTACTTAGTTTGCTGGGTTGAGCCAGTGCAATAGTTGTGCTATTAGTATTGGCTGCGGTGTCCTTGGACTAAGGACAGGAAAAAGATTCTCACCCAGAACCACTATTCATTGATTCCAACCAAAGTATGGATACAAATTAAGTAAAGAACTGAACAGTCCCCAACTGCCAAAAATCCAGATTTGCAGGGGTTAAAATATTTCTATGCGAACCTGTGATTCAATGTTAAAACTAGAGTTAGTCTTCGTCAAACAATTCTTGCTCTTAAAAAGTATACTGATTTTAAATACTGTGCTGTATAAGTGCAATACTGTGCAGTCCTAGCTGAAATAACTTGTGCAATAAGATCACACAGTACACCAGGAACACCATGCAGTTAAACTTCAGGGCCTTTCTCAGCAGAAAATATACTTCAAAAGCATGAAATTGAAATGGTGTATATTCCAAAATGCCCACATTCATAAATAAAAGAACATCTAAAACAATTTCTACAGAAATGTAAATCAAAAAACACATACAAAAATTATTAAAATTACATTGGCTTGATGATGGTAAATTGACCAAGCTACATCTAATGGCAGACCTTCTGATGGTGAAGATAGAGGACAGGTACATAGGAAGGACAAGGGAATGTCAGGACTATACAAGAATTGAAGCACGGGACAAAGGTCTTACAAGCAAGCAGGCCACAGAACAGGAGGTCTGTGACAAACAACAGCAAACAAACACTCAGTATTAAATGTCTTTCAATAAATTAATAACAATCTATTTGTTTAAGGTGAAACAAAATTAACTGAACTGACATTAAACAGGGACTTCCTATATTGAAGGAGTATTGCATTTGCAGGGATTTAATTTCCTTTCATAGGATGTGGCCATGCTGGCTCGTCCAATATTTCTTGCTCATCCTCAATTATTCTAGAGAGGTGGTGATGAGCTGTCGCTTTGAACCACTGCATCTCTAGGCTAAATATACACCACAAGTGCTGGTAGAGAGGGAATTCCAGGATTTTGACAAAATAACAGCAAAGTAACAGCAATATACTTCCAAATTAAGATGGCCAATGGCTTGGAGGGAGATGTGCAGGTAGTGAGTTTCCCATGTGTCTGCTACCTTTCCGCTGCTAGAGGTTTGAGGTCATGAGTTTGGAAAGTGCTGTTTGAGGAGCCTTGGCGAATTGTTGCAATGCATCTTGTAACAGTATAAACTGCTACCATTGTGTGTTATGTGGACGGAATGAATATTGAAGGTGTTAGATGGAGGGTCAATCTTTCAGGCTGCTTTGTGTGGACAGTATCAAACTTCTTCAGCGTTGTTGGTGATGCATTCATCCATATTAGGCCTGTATCTTGCAGGTGGTGGTCAAGTCTTGAGGCGTCAGGTTGTGAGTTACGCACAGCAGGATCTCAAGCCTCTAATCTGCTCCTTTAGCCACATTATTTATGTGGGCTGCTTCGATATCTGGAGGAATGGTGCTAATAAAAGCAAGCATCCACACCTTTGACTGCATGATGTAAATAAGGTGACTGATGGAACACTACAGGAACTACTGCAGTGATGCCCTGGAGCTGAAATGATTAACCAACAAGCACACCCATCTTCCTTTGTGCTCAGTATGATTCCAAAAGGCAGAGTGTTTCCTCCTCGATTCCCATTGATTTCTGTCTTGCTATGCCATCTTGATTCCATACCCAGTCAAATGTTGCCTTGATGTCAAGAGCAATCACCCTCACTTCTCCTCTAGAGTTCAGTCCTTTTATCCATCTTTGGAACGAGCTGTACTGAGGTCAACAGCTGAGCAGGCCTGGAGTAGAACAAACTGAGCACTGACGAACAGGTTATTGCTGACTAAATGCCACTTAATAACAATCACACTCACAATAATTCCGATGATTGAGAGGGTAGAGTGATGAGGCAGTTTTTCACATTAGCATGTAAATGTCAGTGTTATAGCTGTACTGGAACAACTTGGCTATGGTGTGGCTAATCTAGGGTACAGTTATTCAGTACTATTGCCAGAATATTGACAGGGCCCATAGCCTTTGCAGTATTCAACTATTTCCTGATATCACAGTGTACCAAATTGACTGAAGGATGGCACCTTCAATGCTGGGGCCCTCCAGAAGAGGCCTGAAGATGCTTGCAAGTGCTTCAGGCTCATCTTCTGCATGTTTGTGTTGTGCTCTCCCATCACTGAGGTTTGGGACATATATGGAGCCTTCTCCTCCAGGGAGTTGTTCAATTATCCACCACCCTTCACAACTGGATATGGCAGGACTGATCTGTTGACCATGGGAACACTCAGCTCTGACAATTGTATGCTGCTTGCACTGCTTGACAGTCATGTAGTCCTATGCTGTAGCTTCACCAGAAAGACATCTAATTTTTCTGTGTGCTTGGTGCTGCTCCTAGCATCCCGTTTACAACATACATTGAACCAGGTTTGATCTCGTGGTTTGATAGTAATGATAGAGTGGGTTTTAACAAAGATCTGTAGCTAGGGGTGTAGTTGGAGTTGGTTGGTTAGCCAAGCTGACTAGTTTTCATGAAAACGTTTCGTCTCCCTTCTAGGTGACATCTTCAGTGTTGTCTAGCCTCTATTGAAGCACTATTGTTCTGTCCCGCTCTGAATTTTTATGGTCCGATCTAAAATGGTGGGTAGTCCTGTTTCCGGTTTTGTACTGTAGTGGTTTGTAGATGGGATCTAGTTCAATATGTTTGTTTATCACATCGGTCGTTAAAAAACCAGGCCTCCAGGATTTCTCCAGCTTGTCTTTGTTTCGCTTGTCCTGCCAATTAAACTGATGTCCTTCTATGGTTGGAGTGTATTGAAACCAGGGAGAGTTGGTTGTGCCGTTTTGCAGCGAGTTGATATTCATGCGTCCTGGTGGTGAGTTTCCTGCCTATCTGTCCTATGTAGTGTTTCTCACAGTTGCTACATGGTATTTTGTCAATCACATTTGTCCCCCTCATTGTGGATATGGGGTCTTTCAACTTTGAGAGTAACTGGTGAAGTGTGGCTGTTGGTTTGTGTGCTCTCCTTATTCCAAGGAGTTGTAGGAGTCTTGTAGTCAGTTCAGGTGTGTTTCTAATATAGGGTCAGGTGGCCAGTGTGTTGGGATGTAGCGTGTCTTCTTGTGTTGTTTATTTGCCAGGCATCGGCGGACGAAGCTGTTGGGATACCCATTGCTCATAAAGACTTTGTATAGTTGTTCCTCTTTGTTTTTGCATAACTCACAGCTCCGGGATGTTGCAATGTGTAATCGTTTGTTTAAATAGAGTCTTGACACAGCTCTGTTTGTTGAAGATGGGGTGGTTACTGTTGTAATTCAGGATTTGGTCTGTGTGTAGTCTTTCTGTACACGCTGGTAAGGAATTCACCGTTGTTCATTCGAACCACCATTACATGTAGAAATCAGAGTCGATTGTTGTTCTCTTCTTCCCTGGTGAACTTGATCCCAGTAAATATGTTGTTAATACGGTGCGGTGTTTCTTCTAACTTTGTTCATTAAATGATCACAAAAGTATCGTCCACGGATCTAACAAAGAGTTCAGGCTGGATCTGGGGGAGGGCTGTGCGTTCAAGTCTTTGCATAACAGCTTCCGCTATGAGCCCCGAGATGAGTGAACTCACTGCTGTCCCATTGATTTGTTTATATACCTGGCCGTTGAAGATGAAGTGCGTGGTAAGGCACAGGTTTAGTCACTTTAGCATGCTGTTCCTGCTGATGGTTTCATTGAAGGTTTATGTTTTCGGACTGAAACTGGCCACATTGCTAGACAATTACTAGACTAGCTTTTAATTCCAGATTTACTAATTAAATTCAACTTTCACCATCTGCCACAGTGGGAACAAACCCATGTCTGCAGAGTATTAACCTGGGTGTCTGATTACCAGCTTATGACAATACCACTATGTCACCATCTCCCCTGTCCCATCACCACTTTCAGTGATGTTGCCTTTAAA